TTTTTTTTCCCATCGCAACACTCAAATGAATTTTCCATCCAATATATACTGTGCGTTGGCTCAATCAAGCACGTCAACATATATGTTCTCAGCAAATAATTTCCCAATTCTTGTGTCCTGCATACCTTGCCTTTTGTTTTACCATCCTAGATTCCCCATCCCCCTCCCTCTGTTATGACCCATCCTCCTCCCACATTGTCCCTGTCATCCCCGATTGCCCTCCGTGCCTCACCCCTCCCCAAATGATCTGTCAGTGATCTTAATTAGTCTAAGTCTCTCCAATAGTTATCACAGCTGACACATGCCTCTACATGAACTCAAGTCTGACTTTAGGCCTAAACCCCATTGGGTAAAAAGAGCATACTATAAAGTAGAACCCAACTGGGCCCATACCGCTCATTGCAGCCATCAAATATCCATTTTTTTTTTTAAATGGTACGAATAATTTTACAGTTTTTTTTTTGTTACCTAACATTCATTCCCTGAGCATCATCACAGCGTACTAAATGTAATTTCCCATCTAGAATAGACTGCATAGTGACTTAATCAAGCATGTTATCATCAATAATATTCCACTTCTACTTTCTTGCTTATGCACATATATATGTTTTTTTTTTCCTCTTCCTCTTTTAATTTTTTTTTCCCTATGTTTGTCCCTCTGCCCTTTCCCACTCTCCCATTACAGTATCTCTGCTATATACAGTTGTCTTCCAGAAGAGTTACTGAAAAAGTGATACATACAAGTAAAGGGAGAGAGGCCACGAGTTCCAACCATCAGCTCATAAAGTTTTTGGCAATAGGGAGCATAAACTCCACTCAGGGTTGGATTAAGGGAGGGTCTCCTGCAGATCCACAAGTGTAGGTGAGTCTCCAGGGAATGCAGTTTCAGGAAAGCAGTTCTGGTACGCAGGGATGATTATCAGCTGATGCGGCACAGCAGTCATCTTGTAGTTACCAGGAATGGTGTTGTGGGGATCTGCAGTGTGAGTTGTCCTTGGGTATCTGGCTTCCTTAAGAATGACAGAGTAGTTCTTGTTTTCCCCTGAGGTAATGCAGGGCTGGTAGCTATTATCTTCTCAAGTTGCAAGTTCTTCAACCTTGTTTTCGGCCTCCGGGCCATCCAGCGCGGGAGAGGCCAGGGAGACCGGGCCCCGGTTCAGCGTGTGGCTGTGCAGGGGCGTAAGCCCTCCGGCCGCGGGGCCCCCCCGGAGGGGGGCCTGGGCCGTTCCCGGCGTGCAGCTGCGCAGGGGTATAAGCCCCCCGGCCATGGGGCCCAAGCCCCCGGCCATGGTGCCCCCGGAGGGGGGCCAGCTAGAGTTACACATTTTGATAAGAGTTTTTTTTAAATACTGTCTGAAGTCCCATTTTTAATTCCATGAATTCCGATTTCCTTGTGAGATTTACTGTGATTTGTATGATTATCTTCTAATTCCCAAGATCCTAGGTGTGTACCACAGTTGGTGTAAAAGTGCACGTCGAGCAGGTAGGACCTATAGCATAGCGGTTAAGTACTGGGCAGAGGGAGCTGGATCCCACATGGCTGACCACAGTTTGAATCCTGATTTCAGTGGCTTGAAAAACACTCTTGGCATGTAAGTACATGCTCAGGATCCTGACTGGATGGAGAAACGGAGGACAGAAGACTGTGGGTGACCAGGCCCTGAAGGGAGTGCTTTCTCACCGTCTCTTCTGTTTCCCCCACTAAAACCCAGTGTAAAAACAGGAAGGAGGACGGAAGTTCCTAGAAAAAGAGATTAGGTAAATGGTTCAGCTGGGGCTCACTTTTTTCATTGATTTCCAGGGCGGGATGTCTCTGAATGACTATCAATTGAAAGTTTTCAGACTATTTCTGTCTTTGCTCTCATTCTTGAATGATAATTAGTCTTACATAGAGTTCTTGGGTTAGGACCCATTTCCATCAAAGCCGGGCCCATTTTTCTTTATCCTTGGTCATTCACTGTCAGAGTCCAATTAAGATTTTAAGATTTTTTTTTCCTTCCCTTTATTCATGATAAGAGTGTGTGTGCGAGGGAGAGAGGATTAGCAGATTAC